GAAGGCACACGCTCGACAGAAGCGCTAGGCGCCTTCTACGAACCAACTCCGGAGGTGCCAGGCGCCTTCCTCGTCATCTTCACCAAGCTGGAGTAGTCGAAATCTGCAAAAAAGAGAGTTATGAAAATAGCATAAGTAAAAGAGTGAAAAATAGAAATCGATATTAAAGAAATATACCATGATCATAGAGCTCCCCCAATGCACGCGCCCTTTCCCCATTCCTCTTAAGATCCACAGGGGGCGCCCGAAGAATGTGATGCTTTTGTTCACGCTCAACCTTCCCTAGGAAAAAGTCCTTGGCCCATTCCTCAGCCGAACCTTCACGCCATAAGGTCTAGAGGGGCGCCTCCATCGGAGCATGCCAAGTACCACGACGTGGCTTAAGGAAAAAATAGGAGCAATACCACTTGCTGGGAAGTTTGGGAGAACCTTTACAAACCCGACCTTGATACTTGCTGTCACGCTTCAAAGGTGACCAGCCATGTTTGCCCCGCTCTAAACTATATATACTCCGGAAGATGGAGAAAGAAGGGGTGTAGCCCAGGCGCTTACAGATAAGTCGAAATGCCCAAGTATGAAAAATTAGTGAAGGGGACAAGAAACTAATGGGGCACCCAACCATTTCTAAGATGCCCGATAGAATAGGGTCAAGAAGGAACTTCAGGCCACACTTCAAATATTCCGAATAAATCGCAAACCAGCCCTCGGGGTAGCTACTGACCCGCCCATTAGGATCAGGAAGCGCATACTCCCAATCTGTGGGAAACCCCAACCCACGAAGATAAGAAAAAACCCGATGTCGCTGGATGCTGGGACGCTTATCGGAGCCGAGAAGACGGACGGAAGGGGGAGGCGCCTGCCCACCCCACATACCTCGCTACAAAAAAAGGCGGTAATCCAGATCATCAGTAGCACGAAAATTGCCCGTTGCGGGCTCAAGCTCCACACTTGACATGTCACCCTCAGAAAGCAACTCTGTCTGTGGTAATAACTTATCATCCTCAGCATCACTGACGACCTCGGCAAGACGCCACTTAGCTTTTCTATACACTGCCCAATCAACTAACACTCCCTAAAGACCAGTGCTAGCATGAAGAATTTAAAAAAGAAAGGAGAGCATTACTTACCCATCTTCCGGACCTTGCTCGTACAGGCTTGGGTTTTTCTTTTCGCGGGAGCAGCAGCGCCACCCATAAAGGCAGAGGGCTGCGAGTTATTTGATGCCATAGCGAAAAGGGAGAGGTGGGCAGCGAAGCAGATCCTGGAGGAGAATTGAGTGCAACGTCTAAGCCGATAGCTGGCTGGCAAAAAGCCGTTATCGCGCCCTGTGACCCTGTGTGGAGAGGCGCCTCTGACGCCTAGATATTAAAAAGCCTGCAACACAAGGAGTGAGGCGCAGATTAGCAGCAGGGCACTTCTAAAATGAAATAATCAGAAAATAGGAGCAAGCAGACAACGTTCAATGAAAACCAAAGGGAAATTAACGAAAAGGGCGGCGCCTTCGATCGAATCTTAATTAAGAGGCAAAAATATGAAGCGAAAAACGCAAGGCGCCAATGAGAACGCGCAAGGAGGCTGGCGCCTAGGTGGAAGAGGGTGGCGCTTACCTATTGCTACGTCTCAAAAGCGCCTAGTGAGCGGGGAGTAGAAGTGGCAACTCCCGACAAACAGTGATTACGAAGTTTCTGCAAAGAAAAATTGCGGGCAAGTGAGAAACGATGGCGCCAAGGGAAAAGGGGAGGCGCTTTCCAATAGGGGAGCATAGGCGGCGCCCTTAGCGGCAAACGAAATCTCAAAGGCGCCACTCTTAATTAAAAGAAGGAAGGGAGGAAATGGCGGCGGCGCCTAGAGTAAAAGAAAAATGGCGCCGCGAAAATAGAGAGGGTGGCGCTTACCAAGACCGAGGGGTGGCGCCGGCGGAGGAAGGAAAAATTGCGATTAAGGAGTTTCTGCAAAGAAAAATTGCGGACAAGTGAGAAACGAAGGCGCCAAGAGAAAAGGGGAGGCACTTTCCAATAGGGGAGCATAGGCGGCGCCCTTAGCGGCAAACAAAATCTCAAAGGCGCCACTCTTAATTAAAAGAAGGAAGGGAGGAGATGGCGGCGGCGCCTAGAGTAAAGATGGCGCCTAGAAAAGAGAGAGGGTGGCGCTTACCTAGACCGAGGGGTGGCGCCGGCGGAGGAAGGAAAAACGGAGAAGCGCCGAGAGGGGGGGACGACGGCAAAGAGAATAAAAAAGTGGAGCAGCCGATTTGGGGGGAGCAAAAAATAAAATAAGAAGGGGAAGGGGCTTAAATAGGGAGAAGGGGAAGGGAACGCACGGTCTTCGAAGCGGGATGTCTCCAAAGCCCAACCTAACCCTTCCTCTCTCCAAGTTTGCCTACCCAAAGCCTGGAAATGGGTCTAGCCCAAAACCACCTTAAGCAGTCTATTTAAGGTGACGACTCTCCTTCTCTCCTAAGCTCTTAGAAGATCGACTTCGACGTCTTGTCACTTCTGTTGTTGTAGCTATTATTTTATTTTATTTTATTATTTTATTATTTTATTTTATTCTATTTTATTTCTGTTTTATTCTTGCTTTCTCTTAAGTATTCTATGTAAAAGAACCTACTTGTTTGACGATGCCGCAATATTTGCACCATCGCCAAAAGGGGCGATTGATAGGGTATATTAGCAATTCCTAGGGCAAAGCCTTAGCTAAGAACACAAGGAAGGAAAGAGGACAAAAGAGCAAAAAAGACAAGGCTGGGAGACAAGAGACAAGGCCAGGCACCTGACATCAGCAAGGACAAGGGGCAGGGGGACACCCTCTGTCAAAAAGGACTATGTACAGTGTCAGAAGGTCTGAGGCGCCCGACCACAGCATTTATGGCTTGGCAGCCGCCCCGACCACTACCTAACCCCCAAATGTGTATAAATAGGAGTTCTCTCCTCATAAATGGAAATCTATCTACTCTTACTCTAACTTCTCTCTACTTTATCTCTCTATATACTTCTTCTCTTTTTCTACTTCTGAAGAGTCGGGGCGCCTACCCCCTCAAAGTCATGGCTGATGTCCCAAATCCCTTGGACCCGAGTGACGCCCAGCCGCCCGGGCTCAAACATTGTCAAAAATCCATTAGCACTAGGAGCTAAGCTTTCTGCAGAAGGAGATGGGGTACCTGTAAATGGAACTAAGCACAAACAGCTCATTGGGAGCCTATTGTACCTCACTGCCACACGACCAGACATAATGTTTTCAGTCTGTTTGCTGAGCAGATACATGTGAGTTCCAATGAAGCAACACATGCTGGCTGCAAAACGGGTGCTGAGGTATCTGAAGGGTACCCTCACTCATGGCATCTGGTACAAGAAAGGAAGGGGAGGAGAAGACAGATTGGTTGGCTACACAGATAGTGATTATGCAGGGGATTTGGATGACAGAAAAAGCACAAGTGGGTATGTTTTCTTTCTTGCTGGACGAGCTGTCTCATGGTCTTCAAAGGAACAGCCTATGGTGACCCTATCCACCACTGAAGCAGAATTTGTAGCTGCAGCAAGCTGTGTTACTCAATGCATTTGGCTGAGGAGGATTTTGGAGCAGATGGGGTGGAAATCAAGCGTGCAAGAAGGAACCAGGATCTTTTGTGACAACAACTCTACAATTAATTTGTCCAAAAATCCTATTCTCCATGGCAGGAGTAAACATATAGATGTTAGATTCCATTTCTCGAGGGATCTGGTCAAGACTGGGATTGTAGAACTGGTGCATTGTGGGACAGCCAACCAGGTCGCTGACATCATGACTAAAGCTGTGAAGAATAAAACCTTTGAGTCCCTTCGAGGAAGGCTTGGTGTTAAGGAGATGGCTGAACTGATTGTTGCGAAGAGGAGTGAGGTTGAAGATGAACTGAAGTCTTACCAGACTTCAGTTTAGGGGAGGCTGTTGAAGATAGAAGTTGGAGGATCAAACCAGAATTAGTCAAGTCATAGCCGTTGCGTTTGAAATAAGTGGAGCAGCATCTCTTGGTGCAGCGTCGTATTGAGTCTAGTTGTTTGTTAGTGTTGAGTCGTGTCCATTTACTTAGCAGTCAAGTTAGCAGAGTTGTTCAGGTTAGTTGGTGTAGTTGCTGAAAATCAGGAAAAGGGGTAGTGGGATAGTGATAGCAGTCGTGTGAGTTTGTTAGGGAGTCTCTAGCTTTGTATTTAAACCTTTGATTATCAATAAAATTGCCGTCAGTTTGCCCCAAATCTGTTAACAAAGTGTTGATAAAGCATTTTTCTTCTATGAACTATATATGTTAAGAACACACTTCAAAATCGAATAAGTGACGAAATAAAAAATGAATTTTTGCAGAGCTATTGAAAATTACATTCTTGATAGTTTGAATGATGAATACATTTTTCATAATAGGCAAAAATCGGGCTATCATTGTAGGGTCTAAAATTCCTAAACTACATTCCTAATTTGGATATTGTCAAAAATTCCAAAAGTCCATATATTTTAACTCCTGATTTTTTCTTTATCATCGTCATTACATTTTAACAAGAACTCGATATTAAAAGAACTATGCATGGTAATTCCCATTAATGTTTTAACAATGAAAGAACTTCCGAATTCCATACATTGGAATTTTCGTCCTTCTATATGACGTTGTTTCCGATCGGACAATTAATTATGGAAACATTTCAATCATCTTATATCAAATACGACCTAGATACCGAGTTTACTGACCTGGGGTAATGGTTTAGCATTTGGCTCTACTAACAATGATTCATAAAAAAATATCACTACGATCAATGATTAACTAATTAATCATTTCTAGCATTTGGGTTCCCTGTTAGCTAATTACTTGATTGACTACTGATATCCTTTAGCATTTGGCTTCATTACAGAAACAGCCCAAACGCAGATTATATACGGAGCCACAAAGCCATGCACTGATTCGCTCCCTCCATCGTAATCTATATAATTAACGACCATTATTAGCAAAACTTACACAACAATTAATTAACGATCCAATGCCTTCAAACAAGTACTGTTTCCTTCTCTTTGTTATCGCTCTCTCCGCCGTCCATGTCATCCACGGCAAAGTCCACGGTGTCCGCTACACCGTAACCAACAACGCGTCAGGATCAGCGGGCGGCTCCATCTTCGACAGCCACGTAGGCGCTCCGTACACCAAGCAGGCCATGTCACGCGCCACTCGGTTCATATGGAAGACGTTCCGCCAGCAAAATGACGCCACGCAGAGGAAACACGTCACGAAGATCGACTTCTTCCTCGACATTATGGAAGATGGCATAGCCTACAGCATCGACAACGACATCCACCTCAGCGCGACTTATCTGGGGACCACCACGTCAGCGCCGCCGAGGGTTCTAGTGGCGTCGGAGATTTATCACGAGATGACGCACGTGTGGCAGTGGAACGGGGGTGGGGCAACACCGTTAGGATTGATTGAAGGGATTGCGGATTTCATAAGGATGAAGGCCGGTTACGAGTCAACGTCTTCACCGGTTCGGTTAGGAGAAGGGGACCGGTGGGACCAAGGATACGGTGTTACAGCCGGGTTTTTGGGGTATTGCGATGGTCTGAAACGTGGGTTCGTGGGTAAGTTGAACAAGAAGATGAGGTTTGGGTATAGTGAGACGTACTTTCGGGATTTGCTTGGGAAGGACGTGGATAGTCTTTGGAGCGAGTACAAGGCCAAGTACAAAAGCTAGGACAAAGCAGCATGCATTTTGGGGTGTAACCAATACTATAATGTTAGTATTTCTCTTGTTCTCTTTCCATCGTCACACGTTTTCAAATCCGAAGGGGCATTAGCGTTTTATTTTCCAATAAGGACATTTAGACTTTACTAATAACATAGAAAAAGAGTTTTTACAACTTACTCTAATACATCGAACCGTTAACAATCTACCGCAGTTTGTGGGCTTGAAGGACTTAGCGACGACTGTATCTATCATGGATCCATTCTATATATGTAAGAATACGATGGGTCCCTACTATAATGTATTTCTCATGTTCTCTTTAATGTTGTCTTGTGTAACCAATACTAGACTTTCCCTAGAATAAACAAATGATTTCATGGCTACATTTTATGTGTTTCTCCTATTCTCTTTAATGTAGTCACACTAGTGGTAGGTAGGCTACTGTCATTAGTGTAGCAAATCGGCTTACCTCACGAGTGGCTCGATGTCAAATTAGAAAGAAAAAAATTGTTCGACATTCTTGACTCGTTCGTAAGCGAATTTGAAATCAACATTGTTCGACTCGCATGGCTCCCAACCTTGCTCTATTAAGTGCCTTGTCAAGATTAACTCAAAGCTACCTTGTTTTGAACTCGTGAGTTGGCTTGACAGCGGGGCTAGTGAGTTAGCTGGATTAGCGGCTTATAAGCAAATCAATATAGAACTTATGAATTGGCTTGTTAATAATTCATAGGGTTGTTTGATTTCTCTCTATTCTTATTTCTCAAGCGATTTTCATGGCCATTCCGGCAGTTGGTGGGGGGCCGAATAATTGTGCTCATTGTTCGAGGTTGACGAAGGTAGTCGGGGCACTTCTCCTTCGCTCATAGCGATGCTAGGGCGTTGCGTTGGCAAGATGCCTTGGTTGGTCAGTTACGTTCCTTTTTGATCCGCCGTCACTTCAGTCAATTCAGCCTTGGGCAAGTCGGATGTGGGGAAGAGATGGTTCGATTAAGGTCTCACACATCGATACTTCCTTGTTCCTTTTTCAATTTCACAATTCTAATACGAGCACCTAGGTAATTTTTTTTTTTTTTACAAATCGAAATGCTTAGATTGCAAATAGGAATAACATGGTTACAAAAGGGGGAAAGCTCCCTGTACCCAGCAACATGAAAAGAAATTCACAAGTCCAAAAGAACATATTGTGCAGCAGAGAAAAGCCAAGAGAAAGGAGCACAATACAACCAGAACAGACACGAGGACTCCCTTTCAAAGTCCAAATCACAGAAAACAAAACCCCTCTTTGTATCCTCATCAATCTGATAAGCACAAAGCACAACACCAGCTCATCCAATACAGCATTGACCATGGAAATTGAGCAAAGCAACCCCATAAACCGCCCCTGGGAGTTGTTCAAAGACGACCCATCATAGTGAATCTCCGATTCGGGATTACGCTGCGGTGGACAGGACTGTGACCGGATTGCTCAAAGCATGATGTGGCCGCCATAGCAATCAGAAGAGACACCCACTTCAGTCAACCGACACCTTAGGGGATGACGATGGACAGGGAGAAGGTGAATGCAATCGCCCGAGAGATGGCCACACCAAACATTTGGAGAAAAACATCAAACTGGATCTCTGAAAGAGGCTTCCCCAAAGAAGGATCCATCTCCATAAGAGAGGAAGTAAAAAGAACCCACAAAGGGGACAAGGAAGGCCACAAAGAGCTTGAAAGACATGAAACGAAAGGGGAAAAACTCTACAATCAAACGGAAATGAGAAAAACTTGGGCCACCTCCGGTCACCCAAAAGTGCCGGCGGCAGCCCTGAGGAACAGAGGCTGAGTTTTAGAGAGAAGGGAGAGCGAATTTGAAATAGAGAGAGAAAATAAAAAGTTTTAACCTAGAAAAGTAGCACCTGGGTTTTCGAGGGTGGTCATTGGCATTGTCAAAATATGTTTGTGTACTTCCGCTGTTGGTCGGGGAATCCAACAACTGGATATGAAGCTCTCTTCTTGTCATAAACCAGTTGGTCCCAATAACTTGAGTTGTTGGGAGAGGGTTATGCTGAATCTTATACATGCCCATGTATGGTACTTAACCACTTCCTTACACGCCCCCTCAAACGAAAGCCGACTCATGGGCTTGAAGTTTGCACAGGCCCGCCATACCATGTGCTTGAAAGACAACGGTTAATATTGGGGGTCGTGAGGACTGAACACGTGACCTCAAGGACAAACCATGCTCTGATACCATGTCATAAACCAGTTGGTCCCAATAACTCGAGTTGTTGGGAGAGGGTTATGCTGAATCTTATACAGGCCCATGTATGGTACTTAACCACTTCCTTACACTTCTCTCCCTATCTGGGTTAGGATCAGAGGTATTCCGCTGGAATATCAAACATCTGATGGCTTGGGCTGAATTTCTAGTGCTCTGGGTGTTCCCTGTGGATGGAGCAAGCTACAAGGAATGGCGCAAATGTTGGTGTCGCTAGGGTCTCGTCTCTATTAGAGCATCCAAATCAAATCATTTTCATTTACCATATCAATGCAATTAACTTGTAAATGCATATGTAATTAAATATTATATTAAATTACAAAAAAAAAATAAAGTAAAAAGAACTGCATATGCAATCGCATTTCTTGCAAGCTTGCAAATATCATTTATAATTATCAATTACTATAATAGTTAAACAAAGTTTTTGGATTTTTTTAGTCTTTTATGTTGTAATTGTTTATTTGATAAATATTTGAACTCTGGTGTGCGATCTAATGCATGGGTTGTTGTACAATGTGCGGGTTTGTATTGTATAATTATGACTTTTATTATGCCATGTTTGTATTGGATGTAGTGGGAGACAAATAGATGATTGTTATTAGATAAGGAAAATGGGTTATCGAGCACAAAGTTACGTTCGTTTAAAGTTTCGACGCAGGTCAGGCCTTCACCGTGGTCGTGTAATGCGGTGAAGCATTCACCGCCTTCCTCTACAACGGTGATGCAATCACTGCCTAATCACCGCCCTCCTCTCAAGAGGTGATTCAATCACCGCCTTGCTCTGTCGCGGTGAATACCCAAACATGCATAGATTGAGAATTTTTTTCATAACGTGTGTATTTTGAGATTTTTTTTAAAAACGTGTGTAACTCTGGATTTTTTCCATTTAATTGATACCTCATATTATAGTCAATGATAAATTCGTTCTTAAATGAGTGTATTATAGATGTTTTATATGTTATATATCATGAACAGTTCTTACTGGTTAACAAACGGGTTTATAACGATGAATCACTAAACCCTAAAGCAACGCCTATTTCCGGTTCAACGACCACTCCGGTTATTAAAACACAGAATTTTACCCAAAAGTGCCGGAGTGCTTTGCAAAATAATAACAAATTAGTAGTAAGGAGATTTGTTGGCAAATAAACATAGGGATAAAGTATGAGGCCACCATTCAAAAAATGACCATACAAAATGATCCTCATTGTACCAAAGGTAAGATAGCATAACGGTAAAGCTGTCGCGACAGTAAAAGATTGGGAGTTGCAGATCCCAGGTTCGAATCCAAGCGAAGCTCGTTAGTGTTCCCGGAGGTACAAGGCTGCTCATGGCGAATCCCATTGGCGCCGAATTTGATTGCAGGTGGCCTCCAGATTTAGTAGGACCCGCTGTCACAAAATGGTATGTGGTGCTTAGATTCCTGAGTAATAAAGAAAATAATCCTCATTGTAAGATCGTTCATATCCGTACATCTCACATATTCAAAACACAAACGATAAAATGAACTCATATAATCAAATTTTATAATACAGTAAATTCAACAAATCGTATAAAGCATTCTCTCCAAACACTAGGCACTTCCTTCTATTCTTAAACTTTATACTACATAATAAATTCAATAAATCGTGTAAACCACTCTCCAAACACTGACCAATTCTTTCCATTCTTACTTTTGGGGGATCTCTACTACGGGCAGTTTCACTTTACCATATTTGCTACATAATAAAAATGAAGGTGTTTGGTTGAAAAACAATTAGAAATTTTTTTTAATATAAAAGGTTATATAAAATTACTATAAAGAAATGACAATATAAAATATCAATAAAAGATATAAACAATAAAAAGTAGTCAATATGGTTCTTATTAAATTTATTATATATCAAATAATTTATTTTTATAATTTATTTTATTTAAAAAATGATATAAATGAAACAACATTATATTTCTAGAATAAAATTAAAATAAAGTAAGGATAAATTTTTATTTTTAAAACAGCTTTTTGCATAAGTTCCAAATCAGAGTTTCTGCTTTTATGTTACTCAAAAACACTTTTTGGTTTCTTAAAGTCGAACATTTAGAGGTGTTTGGCACTACTGCACCTTTTGAAACCGAAAATCACTTCTAAAATCCAGACCAAGCACAGGCAAAGTATACACAAATGATATGATAAAAAATATACAAACAGAACAATAAATATATATAAATTATATGATAAAATTATATAAGTTAATGTGATAAAATATCCAAATCGTAATCACTTTGTATAGAGATCATACTAAAGTATAAATTATACAAATCAAATGATAAAAATATAAAAAACCAATAGTGTAAATTATACAATTCATATCATAAAACTATCAAAGTATACAAATCTTAACTTATATTATAACAATATAACTGCTTTGAAAAAAATTGTGTTAGCTAATCTTTTTCTCATTCCACGGCACTTGCTAACCTATAATAAAATGATGCGGTTAATCCTATTTTCTACTGTCCATGAACGATCCAAAGACCCAATTTAAAAGGAGTAAGCGAAAAAAGAAGAAGTTAAGTACGACGGGCGACGGAATTGATGACGGAAAGATCCTTTTGGTGGCTGTGAATGAGCTATTGAAGATAGCAGCAGAGGAAATCGAACCAGAGGAACAAGCACTAAAGAGCTTCTTACACAACGTCGTCTCCCTCGGAAGCAGTTGAAGAGCTGAGCAGAAACGACAGCGTATAAGTTAGTGCTTGTGGTTGT